AATATTCAACTTCGACCAGCTGCTCCAACCATCAATTTCAAAAACCCCGCGCTTTTGGAAATTTGCCGCTCGCGACGCTGCGCTACTGGCCGGACGCTGCGGCCCGACAACTGGACGATTCTGTTGACCGCTCCCCCTTTGACGCATACCTTTTACCTTTCCTCCATGCCTTCTGCCGCGAATAGCTCGACCGTAGATGGGTGAAGTACCGCCCTTCTGAGCTCGAACAAGGTGGGGTTGAGGGCTTCATATAGGAGGTTCAAGTAAAGTCCGAACGATTTTAGCGAATACTTTTGTTTTGATGACCGTTTCTACTCCAACACGGCACAAGATGCACCGAAAGCAGATAAACTGCCAATGTTTCAGTTGCGATGAGGACACAGGCGTGTGCATGTGCCCACCGGGACACATCGTCTTCGGAGTACAGTGTCAACTGCCACCATCTTCATTAGCGGGTAATCAACCAGTAATGACTCCTTCGCCATCATCGGTATATCCAACGTCGTCATACTCTCAGAATGCAATACCTCAGTCCTCATATTCTCAAGCTTGTGAGTGACTTATACGAAGAGAACAAGGCATGTTTGTCTATGAGATTATATTTTAGCAACGAATGAATGCAAAGATGACACTAATTGTGAAGAACATAAAGTGTGCGTGGTGGGACGATGTAAGTGCAAACCGGGTTTTGTCGACCACGACGGTGTTTGCAAGCCGCTCGAAGGTGAGAGCTCTTGTTTATTCGCAGATAATTCCGAGACATCCTCTTTGGCCGGCGTCAGACTGCGAATCGAGCGACTCGCTAGCTTCCGCGGTCGCGTTGCGGTACCAGCCAATAGAGGATTCGCTATCCGCGACGCGACCGCAGACGCTAGCGAATCGCTCGATTCGCAAAGTCTGACATCGGCCTTACATACCCACCACATCAAGTGGGAGCAGGGAACCCACCGGCGGTGTTCAGGCTTTTTCTCTGGTCTCATCCTGTAATGCGCCATTGCGATGTATGAGGCGTCTAGTAGATTTACGGGTCAGAGTCGCATTACATACAAGGCGGTTGGCGAAAACTGCAAACTTCTCGAGATTTTTCAAATTTCATGACAAAATTTCCAATTCCCTGCACAATCCACCAATCACGTTTCTTCTCCACCTCCCGGAAATCACAGATGCGACCTCTGGAGAATTGTAGAACTCTTGTCGGAAGGACGGTTGACCCTACAAGGAGGCACAAATAGTCTGCCAGCCAGGTGAACCCATGGGATTAGCCAAAACCACCACCATGTAATGTGTTGAGTGCAGCATTTCAGCACGGGTTCGGCACTTGTTTTTGTTTACCATAGTGCTGTGGTCTTGAGAGCCACAAATAAGTGGTTACTGCTCACAAAAACTTGTTGCTTCTTAATGACTAACCACTCTTGGTACAACAATAACTGAAGAACTAGTCCGCGGCATCAAGAAAAGGTTAAGCCGATGGCAGAGTCCACAATCAGAGAAGAAATGCGAACTAGAGGAAACGAAGGCGAAATTTTCCGTAGTCAATAACATACCACTACACATGAGCCTCCTGTAGCGGTAGCCTCTTCGCGCGGCGGAAGGCAGAGACGCAGATTGGTCAGCGGACGAGTCGCAGCGCGTGCTGTGTAATGTGGGACGTACCAAGTATTTAGCTTGACGCGAAATCACAGCAGTACGCGCTGAGACTCGCCCGCTGACCAGTCTGCGTTTCTGCCTTCTAGGTGCGTGACGGGCCCGCTTTCGGGTACCTCATTTTCTCTATAGTCGCGGACTCTGATATCGGCTCTATCCTTGGAGCGGGCAGCGGCGGCGTGGCTGGGTCAAATGGTCGACTCCAGCTCAGTAATGTGCTGCGGCCGTGCGCACCTCTAGCTAATATGATGTGAGCGTTGTGAGCTGTGCAGTGTTTTGAAGTGACAGTAATCTTGAAGTGTGCTTAAAACCGATCGATAATCACGCTAACACTAACCCACTTTTCAGAGATAGAACTCGGCGAACGTCCTGTACCGGTTTCATACGCGAAACACAAGGTGGAAATATTATCGCCGGAGCGTATCGCCGAGCACGACGAATTCACCGATGGATCTTCATCCCAGATGGCGACAACACGTACGCCTTCACGACAGGAAACACAACGACCTCGCATCGTTGGTCCACCAATCCGGCGACCAAGGCCAAAACCGAAAGCAACGTCATCCGGGTCTGGTGGGCCCGGTAACTATAAGTCCGGCTCGTCGGGAAGTGGTAACTGCCCGCCTGGCAACGAAGCAACCCGGGATGATAGTGGCCGTCTGATTATGTGCAATGGATTCGAACCAAACTGTCCCCCGCGTTCCTACTGCTACATTACTACCGGTGGATTCGCTTCTGAAGAGTATAACTGCTGCAAGTCATGGTAGACCAGCTGGCAGCAAAATATGTTCCACAAACGTGATCCAATCAATAATAAACGTGCCACGTTTGTGACGGACGGAATTCTATGTGTCATGTGTTCAACGAAATCGTGTGTTGTGTGTATTTATTAAATACTTACTTATCGGCCTTCTCACCGCCTACTGCTTATTCAAAGGTTCTACTTGAATTGCGTAGTAATAATGTACAGTATACCCCCGTTGAGAGTGCTTAATCCGCAAGTCTTTCTTGGAATGATTTAACAACTCGTGTTTAAGTGCTTGTGTACTTTTTGACACAGTAGCTGAGCTCTTTCATAAGTTATAACCCATTTTCTCTATAGAGAAGCATGTTTCGAATTTGTTTTTCTACTGTAACTATAATTTGTTGTGTTTTTGATAAAAATACTTAAACATAATCCAAAACGTGTACTGTGGTAGGACCGGGTGTGTACTGTATTGCCGTAAGTACGACACTTGTCTTTCTGTACAGGTTTGTCGCTTCGTAAACTCAAGTATGGTCAACTGTGTCACAATGGCAAGGATACGTGTACTTTCGGAGCAGTGTGTATTGACTCTGTCTGTAAATGCGGACCTGGCTACGCTCTGAGCACGAATGGATGGTGTGAGCCGTTCGATTTTAAGCCAGTAAGTGATTGTTGCACTACAACGTATTAGGGACTAGTCTCCAGTTGTACGGTCCTTCGAGATTGACTTGTTAGTGGTTCAGTGTCCCATCTGTACCCGTGCAGAACAGAAACAACAAATATCACAGCATATTTCCGCTTAAAATATGACGTAGTAAGCAGTCGCGAACAGGGTGAATATTGGTTGAGGATTCCTCAACGGCACGTCGAGGATTTTCGCCTGATCAGTTACGCTCTCCCGCGCGGACATTCACACTCGCCATGCGCGAGCCGTCTGTGCTCTCCGCGCGTATGTTCACTCTCGGCACTACTCTCGCACAGGTAGAGAGCCATGGTCGAGGAATTCCTCGACCGTTATTCACCTAGTTACGAATAAAGGTGCAAGTTGAGACTGACTCAGTATTGATCCCCTCTCTAAATACCCCGCGCTACCGTATTTGGCGCTAAGTCGATGGTTGCAAAGGTACGATCTTTTGGGGTTATCAAAGGCGTATCTGGCCCGAAAGATGGTGGAATAAATTAGTAACAGGACGAAGACACATGGAGTCGTTCTGTTTCGGGCTGAGATTTCTCGTACTTTTGGCTTCTTGAGTTCTTTTCGGTTTTCGAGTTTTGCTCCTGGACATGCTTAAGAAAAGAGATGGTACTGCAGTTGGAATGGGTATCGGTGGGCGGCAACCACTTTTTGCAGCTGTCTGGGCTCTCTCGCCGAAAAGATGATAACATTATTTTGTACCAAAGAATTGTGAACCAAGGGAATGTGGCTAATTCAAGGGTTGGGCTTTTCAGTAGCTCGCAACCACGTGATAAAAGCACGGGAGCTTTACGGTGGGATACGCGAGATTTGAAACGAACCTTATGTTTGAGCCCTCGGAGGGGAACATGTCACAAATTAGACCGATTGAAATTTGTTGCGCACAACTCGAAAGTAAAGCTCTCAAACCCCGAGTTACTGGTTCCGCTTTCCGACCAGTGATTTTTTGGGGAACCTGACCGGAGGCCCGTCGCGCGACAACAAGGCAGAGTCAGCGGACGAGTCGCAGCGCGTACTGTAGTGATTTCGCGTCAAGTTAATAGAATGTACCACTTGTACGTCCTACATCGCACATCACGCGCTGCACTCGTCCGCTGACTCTGCCTTTTTACCGCGCGACGGGCCTCCTGTACCCAATTTTTTGATAGGAGAGGTAAACCTCAAGAATGACATACCCAGCCTACAGTACTTTAGTATGTCAAAATTTGTGTTATGCTTACTGAAATTATGCGAATATCACTGGGATTTTTGTAGAGTGCGAAAAATGGAAATTCATACGCTCAGTTCACAAGGCCAGCCATTAGTACCATGGTGTCAACAAGGCCACCAACGCCATTCACAAATGGTTACGCCGTACAAGGAAGCCAGTACGCAACAACGAGTCCTTACGGTCATGTTGACCGTCCTGCACTTCTCACATCACCACCAACTCAACGTGAGGAACGGTTTGCGATTCCAATCAAAATTATGACGGTCAACAAGCGATCGTTGTGGATTTAGAGCCACAATTTTCCACTTCACCTGCACCTAAAGTGGTTCGACATCGGTTTTTGGGCACAAAATGTCGTGAAAATGACGTGTGTATCAATGGAGGCGAATGTTTGGGTGGCATCTGCCAGTGTCCAGAAAATCTGTTCGAGCGCGGTGGACGATGTCTTCGAGGTGAGTGGTTTAAAATATGAGCTGTGATAGAGTGAAACCACTTTGTAGTCGCATTTGAGGGGGCAATAGCTGGTAGTACATGGTTTGGGAGAAGCTCATATCCCCCAACACATTTTGTGGAAGGTGTAGAAACAGTTCCGAGTCTGTTGTAGTCTTTGACGGTGTAACGATAACCTTTTTCACTACGTCTAAATCAACAACTTGGATCAAATTGGTGGGGTAACAATGGTCGATATTTGAAGTGTGGGTGCAGAGTTGATTAAAAAAAAAAACCAAGGAAACCACCCATGAGGCCCTTAACATAAACCCCCTCTCTTATCCTTTCAGATAAGGAAGGGGCGTGTCTGGACGAGTTCTCTGAATTTGCTTTCTCCATGGTTCCGCTAACCCGCACTTATTCAAATTAGCCGCTGCATCAAATAGGCCATCACTATTGCACCGCCCGTGTCGTAGCCTCACGCGACTCTGGACGGAAGTTTCAGAATAAATTTAAGGCTGTATTTATTTTATGTTGTTTTTTCAGCGAGCCAGATTCCTCATGCTGCTCCCAGTGAGCCCTGTGAAAATGGAGAAATGTGCACGGGCGGCTCCATATGCGACAATGATTCCAAAACCTGCATCTGCGCTGCAAATCACGTGATTGTTGGTGGTGTATGCAGGAGTGAAGGTACTACTGAACTTTGTTTTTCATACACGAGACCATTTCAGTACAATAGAAACGGTTTCATCCCTTTGTTAGACGTTTCTGGGGTATAAGCCGAGTGGGCGTACTGTATCCACGCGCGCCAAAATTCGCGGCCATTAGTGTGAGCTATTCAAACCACTCATTTTCTGGTCTCCTCTGCAGTCTCTTGCCGAGACAATGCCACGGCGCGCTTGCGTTGAGACCGGAGGTTGGCAAGAGTACGCAGAAGGCTGAGCGGTTTGGATGACATAAGTGCGACGAATTCCGGCGCGTGCGGTCCCGCGACGTGTACTATTGACTCATACCAGCGCATCGGTGATTAATATATGTATTAAGGAACTGTTTCCAAACAATGCGCTCTTACAGATGCAAGCCCATTTTCTCTACCAGGCGAGTCATGCACAGGTGGTGAAGAATGTTCTGGAAATTCTGCATGTGTCAGTGGTACATGTCAATGCGCAGCTGATCACTATGTTGAAGATGGTTACTGTAGGCATATTGGTAAGTTATTCAGTAAAATTGCTTTTGGAACATAGCGTTTTTTTTTCTCTCAAAAGAAGTATGATGGATGGCTTTGATAAGAACTGTGTGAGCACGTAATGTCTTTGGCTTTCATTTGCACAATAAGAAATATTTAAAAGTCCCTGAAAACTGTGCAGTGTTATACGATATCTGCTTAAGTGATCGAGCATTTTAATTCCGGAAGTTGGTTTCATGTCATTTGCTTCTCTCTATGATGAAATAAGCGTCTTCGAGACGAAGGTTAAAGGCACTGAGCGCGTTGGTTCGGGGCGGAGCTTCCTTGTTTCGTCATTGGTGGAATAGCATCGGGAGGCGGTCCGCGTACACTGTACAAATGACGCGGGGCTCCACTTCACTTTATTTCTCTCGTAGTAACAAAGTACTCGCAACGATTTCGCTCATGTTTACCGAATTAATTGCCGACACTGTTTAGCTTCGCAGTCTTCGCCAGTCAAATTTGTGGCCGGAAGCGGTCTTCGCTTCAGTTCCAAGTCGTCAACGCCGAGAGCTCCGGCCGCGCCATGCGATGAAACCATCTGTCGTCTTCCGGATTGTTTCTGCTCAACAAGTGGTAAGCTTTCACTTAACGTGGATTGGATCACAAAAATTATTTCCACTTTACTTTTTCCGGCCGAAAACCTCCGGGTGGGCTAGCGCCGAACAGCGTTCCACAATTTGTGGTTCTAACGTTCGATGACGCCGTCAACGGCCGGACGTTCCCCGACTATCTGGAGCTTTTTGAAACAGTGAAATACAGGTGGGTTGCTGAATTCATAGTTTACTCTTTAATCTTCACACAATTCTGAAAGTCATCCGAAATTGATGTGTGTTTGATTGATGGATAGCTCGGTACTATAAATTTTCGCAGAAGCCTTAGTCTTTTTTACCCAAGCTGCAAATAATTGCCTAAGTAGCTCTTAATTTTTTGATGAAGTTCTAGAGCCCTACTCGCGAACTTTATTTTCTCTTCTTATACTCCAAAAGCTTCTCTGCGTTATTTCGAAAGAGACAAGTTGAGATGAGCATTCTGTGGCTCTTCAATCAATAAGAACGATATATCAGTATGGTGATTTGGCTCCACCGTAACCACGTTTGCGGTGCGGCACGCAGTGTCAAATGTTATTGACCTGTACTGCTTCGGTTAAATTGCCCGCCCCAATTTCAACAGCGCGCTCCAGTGCGACGTGGATTACGGTGGAACTAATTCACCCTACTGATTAATCGTTCTTGTCTGTAATCGAACATACGCCGTGCTTGGAATGCGTCGCGCTTCCGTCTGGCATTCCTGTGGATGGCATGATAAATTCTATAGCCATTCACATGTGACACCCCAATCGCACCCCTCTTGCTTAGCTGAGGGCAACTAATAGAGGCTACAACTATGTTCGAAATGTTTTCTGCCATAGCTTCGAACAGGCCATTTTCATTTTCATTCAGTACCTTTCTTGGTTTGCGCTTGCAGTCGATGCATGTCCCATAGCTTGTTGGTTGCTAATCAATATCGGTTAAATAATTGAAATATAGCACCAAAAAGTGATTCTGTGAATTTTCATCGGTATGTACCATGTTCACCAGGAATCCAAACGGTTGTCCGGTGAAGGGAACGTTTTTCGTGTCGCATGAATGGACCAATTATGACGCTGTACAGTGGCTATTCCAACAAGGCATGGAGTTGGCATCGAACTCAATCTCGTAAGCTAGCGTACTTAAAGGCAGTGAACACAATGGTGGGGTGAAGACAATTTGGAAGTGTCACTGGTGCAGGAGCTTTGGGAGGCGGTCATAGCGAGTGGCCGCACCGCCTTCTGAAGCTCCTCCACAAATGACGTTCCTATGCCTCCACCTGAGCCATATTGTTCGCTACTTTCGATGTAGGGTTTTACCTAACAATGCTTACTTTGAAGACACGTCTCACTCGAGGGGACCGACGCGAACAGATGGCTGAACGAAATGGACGGTCAACGCCGAATTATGGCGAAATTCGCTAACGCAAACGAAGAGGAAATTGTTGGAATGCGAGCACCACAGCTGGTTCTTGGTGGAGATGAACAGTTCGACGTGAGTTACTCAATTATTTTCTCACCATAGCCATTTCACGTATGCCACGAATTGCTTTTCAACACATAGACGACAGCATGACGCGCATGCGCGTCAGATTTTTGCGCAAGGGGGCATCATGCCTGATTCACTTACTATTTGTTCGTTGAACAGCTGTCCGTCTACATCACTGGGTCCAGAAAGTACTATATTACAAGTAATAATTCTTGGAAAGTAGTGCTGGTCTCGCACAGCGGGCTGTCGTCAATATGATCAGGATGTGTAGACAAATCTCAAGCGCGTTGGTGTTGGCTTAAAGGCACATTACGCAATCAAAGGATGGATTATTATTGCTTCATTATGAATGTGGGTGTACAACAGGGAACCCCTGGTGAGGAAAAAATGCGAAAGAAAAGCCAGATACGCTAAATTCAAGAGTTTTTGGTAGGCATACGGTGCTGTGAGGACGAGAGAGCACCAAGTGCGAGACGCAGACATCACGCTGCATAGATTATGTTGTGAATGACGTCGCCACATGTAACCAACTTATAAGGTCTTAGCGTCATTATGTGGCAATTTAAAGCCGATTTGGGGGGAGGGTTTCAGGAGGTGGACTTTGCTCTCGTGGACTCGTTTACCTAACTCACGAAAAGGCATTGATCAACTGGCTGCACCAAAAATGGTAATTTAAATGGTAATTTAAATAAATGGTAATTTCGACGAATACGCGTGGGCACTCGAATGAGGCAGTATAATATCTCACGCTGAAGTTAGTTTGTTCTAGAAAAAAATTCTGCTAGAGTGGTCCTTTTGGTCCACTTCTGATCGTTCTTTTCGACTTTCAGGAATGCCCATGCATTATTGATGTATGAAGTACAATTCGTTGCCTCCATTACGATATGATTTTTCAGATGATGGCACGTGCTGGTTTCGTCTACGACAACTCTATGTCTGTCAATCCAGGTGTCAATGGTGAACCATACTGGCCCCAGACACTGGATCACACGGTCCCCTGGGCCTGCTATGATGCACAGTGCCCCACCTCGTAAGTTCCATAGGAACACTGAACCGATTTTCATAGGAAAT